ACTTGACGTGTAATTAACCCACCTTCCAGCACTCTGGTCAAGTAAAAGAATGTTGACTTGCTGACTAAAAAAGCATTTTTCTTGTAACTTTTCATTTTAAAAGATCTTTCAGAATTGGCAAGCCTGTCTCATTCATCTGCCTCTACGGAACCCTTTTCAGTACTTGTTAGCCCTCCAACATCCTAGTAAAGTGTCACTTCAAATTTCCATATTTCCTGGTCTTGAAAGCAGATTGCTTGGAGTCTTGCTGACCAGCACCTGAGGTCCTCTGGATAATTCCCTTCTTTCAGAAAGCTTTCTTTTCCCCCACTGCATCTTGCTGCCACTAATACAAGAAGTTCTGCCTTTTGCTATCCTGAGGATTGAGCAGGACCTTGGGTTTGGTCATTTTTAAGGTGCTTTTAGACTATCAGGTAGCACCTGAGACTTAACAGGGACTGGTAACATAGCTAAGAAATTGGAGTACAACAGATGACAGGGATAGAAGGCTAAGGAAAATACCATGTCTAGACAAAGATGCCTAAAGACCATCTCTTTGTAGACTTGTGTCTAGTTTTATCAGTATAGCCTTCCATGCCAACTAGAAGAAGCAATTCCATGTCTCTAAAATTGCTCGTGAAAATGACTGATGGATCCTCAGGCACTGCAGGTAAATTAAGCACAATCTGTATTAGCCAGCTCCAGGCATGTCCAAGTGTAGTGGGTCACACCAGTTTCCACGGACTGTTATGAGTAGGCAACCTTTCCTGGATACAGTGGTGCAAATGGAAGAAGTTGCACTCCAAGTTCCTCTCACTTTTCTCTCAGTACACACCTACACTCCTTTAGTGTCTCATGGCCAATGCCAGCAACTTCTCAGGTCTTTCAGAGCACCTGGTTAAGTGGCCTCTCTCTGCCTCACCCTAGTCAAAATCAATTAGTCATCTCATTATAAAAGAGGAGCTGTGATGGGCATATATGTCCAAACCATAAATAGGCCTTCCTAGACAGAATTGTTTACAAAACTTACATTTGTTTACACCTTCCAGCAAATTAAGAGTTGGTTCAGTTTACAGAAAAGTATTTTGCAATGTACATACACAGAGCAATGAAGCAGAACTGGAAGTTCAGTCACACAAAAGACAAGACCTCTGCATAAAGAGCTTCCAGGCAGTAAAAATTTGAAAGGCCTTTCTGATTTGACAGAGGCCCTTCCAGTTCACAGAATGCTTGATTCCTACCAAGGTTAATCCTTTGTTGTTGTTGTAATTGCTGTTGTTGTGTTTATACACAAACTATTTTGCCAGAGTTCTCATTTCCAGTTGTTCTTCAGGATGTCCAGACGGGACAAATCTGTTCTTGCTTCATGCCTTTGCAAGAAGACCAGAAACAAACTTGACTCCATATTTTCGAAAACTAAATGTGATTTCTCCTTCCTCATCATCTTCTTCACTGGTGTGTCCTATGATCTCCTTTCATCTTTTCTCACCATCATCCAGATAATGGATTGACTTTCATGCCATAAAACTTACTGTACAGCTAAACCTACTCCCCAGTAAATTCCCTCTGATAAGTGGGAATGAAAAGGGCTCTCATGTAGTTAGAAATCCAGCTGACCCATTCCTCTTGAGGATATTTAATGCACTTGACTGTGTTTGATAAGGGAAGGTCAGTTTTCCTACAAAAATAATAGTTTTTAGCTCTTTTGCTTTCTTTACACAGTAAACAAAATAGCAAAAGTAAAGACAAAGATTAACCAAAGCCAAGTTGCTCCTTTATATTTTACTAAAGAAGACTGCCAAATCCAATAAGGTGACCTTGACATATGAAATTAGTAATTCACAATTGTTGCTAAGTCTAAAAAAATTTCAGATGTAAAGCTGTAGATCATTTACTTTCATGATTAATTCAATTTCTTTCATTGATTCCAGTTTTCAATGACAAAAACTTGCACATATGATAAAACAAAATGCACCAAAATGTACCAATGAATTCTTTAAAAAAAAAAAAGTGATAAATAGGCAGATGTTGCTGGCAAAATAATGGGTTAGCCTCATCCCAATGAAACTTTTTATATCTATGCAAGAAGAGTTGGAAAAATCTGTTGACTTTAGAGAGGCCACATAATAAATAAATGTGTTGCAAAGATTAGAACAGAGAGGATATTTTAGGCTAATTTGGATGGTACTATCTTCTTCCATAGACATCAGGAAAATCAGCCTTTGACCTCAAAATACAAATTGGCACTGGAAGCTCTTTGCTACTTTTTCCAGTCACAAAAACATTAACCTCGATATCCTGGCCAAACTCCAAAATGGGTGATTACATTCTGCTGCTCTAATTTTCCCCTGCAGGCTCAACCAGATCCAGCATAATTTCCTGATATGTAGTGTTACTGAAAAAAAAAACCCCTTTTTGCAAAGTTGCTGTCAATTTTTCCTTCTCGTCTCCTCATTTGTATGCCTTGTCTTATGAGTTGTAGGTTGTTTGAAGGTCAGAATTGTTTGGTTCTGGATCACAGATTTTACTAAACTGAGGGACTATGAACATGGCCGGTGCTGCAATGATAACAATATCTTCCCATCCCTTTTACTCTCTTATAATACACATAGTGTAGCCTGGCTATAGTTTTTTCCCCAACCACTCACGCAGTCAGACTTTTGTTAAATATCACATCATCTTGAGAATCAGAAGTCAAAACCGCAGCCTAAAGATACAGGGCATTCTGAGTGTGTTTAAAAACCAGTTGCCAATTTGATTGTAAAATAGCACATTGCCTACCTCCACCTTGTTTTAAAGCAATAATTTGTTAAAGAGATTATGATTTCCATGGCCATACAATATAATATTTTTTCAAGAAGCTTGGATATAATTGATAGCAGAATTCATTTAACTCATATTTAGTATTGATCTGAGACATTACTTTTACTCTTAGGAAAAAACATTCTCTACAAAAGCATTTCTGATGTAACTGCTGATTTCACTTTGGTTCTACAAAGCTGCATACCTGCACTTTGGGTAGTTTCTTACTGAGTAACTTAAGCTAGTTAGAAATATCAGCACTGAGATAAATTGGTACAAGCACTTCTATCTAAAACAGAGGATGCAGTGCTTCTTCCCCCAGCACAGTCTCAAATAAAACAGCACTAAATGCAATCTGGTGGATTACCTGTATAGAGAAGCCACACAGATTCTGCTCTGGGGACGTGAATTTATTGCTTAGTCCCAGTACCACAGGGTTAAGTGAAATGCTATCACAGTAATTTATTATTAAGAGAAACGGTGATGGCTTAGATTAAGAAGATTTGTCTGTCTCTTCTAATTAAGGTTAGGTTTGTAAGAAGCTTTACTGCCCTTTGAAGCTACAGAGACTAAAATTAGGACTCTGGTTCCGTTTAAAATGTCACTGGGTTGGTCTATAATCCTGTGGTGGTTGCTACAAGGGATCATTCCTTCTGTGTTGTGATTCCTTGTTTGCAGGATAGTGAGCCGGGACAAGACCCCACGAAGCAAAGTCTGAGCAGTTTGTTAATAAGCAACCAGCTGGTCCTACAGGACACTGTGATGCTCTTCCAGTTACCCCTTGAGGAGTCCATACTGAACGGGAATTTGGCAAAGCAACCAGCTGTAAGACACAAAGAGTTCTATTGCTGGCACAGAGCAAATGGTGGCAGCAAATGGGCTGTGTACAGAGAGTGAAAAAGTTTGGGGGGGCAAGAGCCATCCTCAGGCTGTGAGTGAACTCATTTTACAGTGGTGTTTACAATCCTATATGTGACAGCAGCATCCCAGGCTATAGTGTCCTCACTGCTGATCTACAATGTCAAAACTCAAATCAGTAAATGGATCACTTCTAACTTTTCTTATTATTCCCCTACGTACACAGCATCAAATGAACCTGTGGGGCTGTTACAGGAGAGAAATAGCAAAAGCTGTTCAAAAATTTTTAGGGAATTTGAAGATTGGATTCAGTTTTCCTTAGTGATGCGTAGACCTAGAGCAGCTCTGACTGTAGTAAATTACAGAAACAGAAACCTCATTAGATGGAAAGATCAGCTGCATTTATGAAGAACAAAGCCCTCTTTGAGAATATTTAGCATGACAGAATATTTGAAGGAAAAGTAGCCATGGTGCTTCAAGTCAAAACTCAGTTTCTGATTGGCTGGGATAATAAAATCCTCCTCCAGTAGGTCGGACATGAAATTATGATTCACTACAGAGTGCCTTTCTCTAAATTATCTGAAGCTGTGTTTCAACTGAGACAAAACAGCATAAGAGTGTGGATGCACATTCTTCTGCTAGGTCTTATGTACCTGTCAGATAGGACAGTGTGCTGGGAGCCACTAAATTGCTATTCAGTAGCTTAAAAAGAGAATAATCTTTTAATTTGGTTTAGTGAAACAAAGCGAGTTTATATGTATATTGGAAGGGATGAACTGCAAGCACTGAGTCTCAGATATGTGAGCAAGAAAAATCTCTAATCAATTAATTCAGTAAGAATCTGCCAGCTTTTACTGATCAATCTGTTGAGCAATTAATGAAATTTAATTGCTCTGTTGCAATGTTGATAAACTTTTTATGTTACAGGGCATATCTTTTGCATTGTATTCTTTTTTTCTTAGATAAACTCTGTAATGTTTTTATAGACAGGAAAATCCAATTAAGCAGCAAAATCAATCACCTGTCATTCAAATAACCACTCATAAAATCTGAGCAGCACATATTCATGAAGGACCTCCTGAGTAAAAGCTATTTACTCTCCACAGAATCTTATGACTGCTTTCAAATGAGGAGTGAAAGGGCTCAAAAAGATTACAGGAAGTCACTTAGTTCAGTCCCCTTTATTTACTCAGATTAAGACAGGGATAAACAATACCCACCTATTCTGAACAAATAGAGCAGGGTGGTTCACAAAGTATTTCTTACAGTGAGAGAAGGGTACAGGTATAATCAGTAGGGCTTGCCTTGAGCAGTTCAGTCTATTTTACTGTGTCCAAACCCCAGTATCTACTGCAGCAGGCATGAGCAGTTCCTGTGTGACATTGGCCGAGGTCCTGTGGGCAAAAGGAAGCTCTCTGGAGGAAGAAGAAATATGGGCACTCCTGCACCTGTCCACAAGGCAGCTTCTGGAGGATCTCCACAGAGGTGAGGTGACAAACATCTTTATAAGAGTTCTTACTGTTGGAAATTAATTATTGAGCTATTTCAATTCTTTTGACTTTGTTTGTTTGTGGGGGTGGGGTGGAGACAAAAAACCTAATGGCACTAACAGCATATTGCTAATAAAAGTAAGAAATCTTTCAGTGCTGCTGGGATTACGTGCAGATTGCTCTGCCTACACAGAAGATCTTCACACAGTTTTGGCTTTTTTTTTTTAATTAAACATCAAGTAGTAATTAATCTAAATACAATTATATGCAGACAGAAGAGTCCTTCCTGAAGTCTGAATAAAATGCACCCAGAGAAAGTGCAGTGCCAGCTAGGCTCATGTCCTTCATGGACTGATAGAGAAGGGCAGACAAATCCACATGGCTCTCCATTCAGCTAGTAAGAGATTTTATCCTTGATGATAATAATGTAACTTATCATTATGATGTTTCCTTGCCAAGCAGGCCAGCTTGAGAGAGCACAGAGCACAACTGAGCAACAACAAGAGAGCACAGCTGAGCAACCTGTCACATTTTGAGAACTGTTTATGTGAACGGGTATTCTTTTTGAGGGGAGAATGGATGAGACATGTTCTTACCTCATAAGCATGTAGAATCAAAATACAAAATACAGAAAACAAGTGATGTGTAACTTCTACTATAGCTGGAGGAGTGAAAATTCATAAATTCATTACCAACTAGTTTTAATGGGCTGGAACACTATAGCAGGTTGACTATACCATCAGTTCCCTATTAACTGGTGTAACAAGGGGATAGACTAGCCCAGGAAATACAAGCACCATAAATGTGCAAAGGAGTGAAGCACAGAGATACCCACCTGGATAGGTTCAGCATAGGTCCATCTATTGACTCTGTGCCAGACACTAAGCTGACACTATGCTCTTCTGATTGCTGACTTAACAAAACTTTTTTTTTTTTTAAAGAGATAATCAGCCTATGTTCCCTATGCTACACCAGATATATTTAGGGTATCAGAACATGAAAACTAAACCAAGAAGAAGTAGGGGTGTACAACCAAGCTGGGCTGCAGGCCAAGTGTTAGGCTGCTAAAACTTGTCTTTAGGGAGCTCAGGTCCAGAAGTGATGTCAAGCTGGAGTCATTCTGAAGCTGAATCCAGTGTTCCAGCTATTTTGAGCACAGGGAAGGTTACCTGCCAGTGCATAGCATCATCCCAGTTGAGTAAGGCATATCTCTGTCTCCACATCTCCCAATTGCAGCTATATTGTTTCTGTAATCAGCCTCTTCTCAAGGCTAATGCTGCCTCATTTGCTGTGCTGTGCATGGTGCAATAAATCATGCCAGATCTCATGATGATCAGCACCACTTGGCACACAATATTCCTGGTGTGCTGGGGCACTGCCAGGTCAGGCAGGAATGCCACTCGTTGGCTGGCCAGCCCTACAGAAGGCCAGGTATTCTCCACTAGGATGAAGTACAAGCTGGCTGGCTGCTCCTCAAACAGACAAGCTTCCCAGCATGTGTGACTTGTGTTTGCATACAACACTACAGAAAACATGCAAGGAGCAAAAGAGAACACCAGCTGAAGGTAACCATGGTCAGAGAGCCCAGCAATCACCAGGCAAGGCCACAGTGACAAGGCAGGTCTGAGGTCAGGCTGGGAAGTCAGTCTGTGGCTCAGGACCAATAAGGTCCCCAGTCAGGCAAGTAATTCTGGGTCCATCTCCAGTGATGAGTATACAGGTGAGATGCCAGAAATATGATTTTCTGAGTACAGTGAATAAACACTATGATCTTCATTCTATCAACTTCAACATTTTTCAGACCCTGCCATCTGTGTGATTTGCCCGTGGTCAGTACTACTGTCTGCTGAAGGAAATTTGTTTTTCCAAAACAATGCATCTCAGACAGAAGCTGCCCCTTTCAGTGCACCAGAATTGCTCCACCGCCCAAGTAAAAATCAGCACTTTGGACTAACAAAGGTGAGGAATATTACAAAGTGCATTTTGACAGCTTCTCATGAAGACAAGTTTGTGGATTTTAATGCAATTTGCCAGGCATCTACTGTCACATCCCATTTCTAATAAAACTAATCAAATTAGGCTATAGTTAGAAAGATGTTACATGTATCTTGCAGCTTATTGTTGGATTAGCATGCATGTCAACATCAAAATCAATTTTGAACATCAGTCCCACAGGCCTGAAGAAATGTATTATTTGTAAAGGCCTACAGAAAGGAAGAATATTTCTATGAAATAGTGTTCAAGCAGATGTGGTAATTGTAATCTCAGAAGCAAGCAGGACTGCAGTATCTGTACAATCAGAGGGTAGAAGCAATCCCAGGAAGTCAGAAATTTTTTCAGCTTTGTTAACAAATGAGTCTCTCTGGAAAGACAGTAAGATATAACATTCAGGCACCTTAAAGTTTTAAAAACTACTCAGACCACATAGTCCCCTCAGGCAGAACACAGTATTTTCAGATTCACACATAACTGACCACTTATACACTAGGCAGAAAAATGAAGCTGTGGAATAGGCAGCCTTATTCCAGTAATTATTTTCCTGCATATAACAGCTAGTCAGTCGCACAGGCAGGGGAGAATTTTCATCAGAAATGGGAGAGCTTCAAAATTAAGAAATGAGTTCAAATTTCTTTCCCTACTCCTAGCATCTTTGAGCAGAGGGCAGCCTGGCTCAGCCCCTCAATCTGAACAGCACTAATGATGCCAAGATGATTTTTTTGCCTTTTCTTTTACATACATTTTATATAACTTTTGTGTATCCTCAGTATTCTTAGCATGCATACTTGTAACTCCTTAAGTCTGATAACTTAGCATAGCCCAGACATCCTAAAGGCCTCAGAGTAGGAGGCCAGAATACCCTACGCTGTCTTGGGAAACCAAGGTCCTGTCTAGAACATACCCTGTAAACTACAGATTCAGTCCATCCAGGGGGGAATTCATTGGATGGGGTAATATCACACCATTCATCCAGGCCTCCCATTGGGGCACCCCTGTGCGATATGCAAATTTATAAGATCTATGAATTGTATACGTGATCTGTCGTGTGTGTGCATTGTGGCACATCTCGCCTTGGCGAAATGGTGCACCATAAGGATCCTTATTAAAACACCAAGACAAAAACTCCTTATCCTTTAATCATGTCTAGCTATGAGTTTTTTAAGACCAGGAAAAGACATCACTAATTGCATGCAACCTAGTCCATAAGCTAAGAGTCACTATTTTACTTTTAGATACGTTTACTCTAGTTTTTTTAAAAAATCATCTATATTATTCTGTGACTTCTGCCATTTTGTGACCATAGACACAAAGAGATGGTGTGTCTATTATGAGGCTTTCCTATACTGATTTCCTGTATTGATTTCACACAGAGTTTCCTTTTCTGTTTTGACAGATGCTGGTGTATTCCTTAGGAATGACTCTCTATTGGTCAGCAGATTACCAGGTTCCTCCAAACCAGGCCAGTAACACAAAAATTTTTGTTTTCATTTATTCTGGTAGGTTTAAACAATGAGAGGCATAGTCTTAAGTATCACTAAGAGGGGCTTTGTGTTTTGGACCACTAGAAAAGAATTTAAGAGCTTGTGTCAAGGTCAAGCTTCACCAAAAATATCAGTTCACACAAATCAGGGAATTTAGTTGGAGCTCATCTTTTCTTTCCTTTCCTTTTTTTTCTCCCTTATGTTTCTTCAAAAACCAGCAAAGTGGTTGAATCTTATCCTTGGAGGAATTTAAAAGATGTGTAGTCGTGGCACTTAGGTACATGACTTAGTGGTGGACTTGCCAGTGCTACATTTATGATTGCACTCAATGATATTAAAGGTCTTTTTCAATTACTCCACAATTCTATTATTCAAAGATAGACAGGGCTAAAACAAAAACATCGCGTTGGCATGTTGGCATGTGCTGTGTACATTTATGTGCTTTTTCAAAAAATAGGATGGAAGAATAAAACTAAACAACTCCCCTTATTTCTGAACAAATTCTATCAGTATCTCTTCAAGCTGAAATTACAAGTTTCTTGCTTACCCAGAATCCTTCCAAAGACTTGCAACATACATTTTGCTTCATTTCTATATTGATGCTTTTTGTTGCTTGTTCTCAATTTGGAGAGCACAGATTTCTAGTAGATTTAACCTCCCCTTCATATTCTTCTAAGAGAAAAAGCTTTATAAGCTAAATGGCCTTAAAATATAAGTATCTGGTCTCTATGACAACAGTTGTGGCTGGTAAAACTCCTCACCTTTTTGAAGCTAATGCTACCACATACCTTACTTCCATGAATCTTTGATTCACAGTCCAATTAACAAAGCTCTGGAGCAAACTGAATTGTCTGTCACCAAGAAGCCCCTATTGGGGCAACAATCATTCTTGGAGGCGCCAATTCCCTCCAAGGCTATCCTGGATCCCACTTATGGGATCCCACTAATCTCATGCTGCTTGTCTGGAATTCTCCCAAAGTCTAAAGGAATTCAGTGCATGTTTCTCACCCAGGCTTACAGAAATTCCTGGTCCCAGTTTACACAGGATTTCAGTCCCCTGGGAGATGTCATTTAACAGTACCTCTATTTTGACTCAGTCCCTCCAGCTGAGTGACCAACTACATACACTCTTGCTGACACTGTGTGAAGATCTGCCACATAGAAGACTTTCTCCTGAATCCATTCTGGAAGCATGTGAAGCACATCAGAAGGAAGCTGCTTCCTTACCAGCAAAATTCTACATAAAGAGAATGGTTCAGTTTGCAGTGGGAAGTGTCAGTGAGGTAAGTACTACTCTCATACTCCAGTCAGCTCCTTTTCTGTTGTGAGAGGTGCCCAGCAACATGGGAGACAGGTGAGCGACTGCCAGAATTAATGTTTGTATGGATTAAGGAAGTGAGATTTGGTTCTAAACTTCTAGGCAGGAAATTGTGTGGGCACGTGTACAAGCAAATAAAGCAATGAAGCCATCTCACACACCACTTCTACACTCCTGGGAAGTGATTGAGCTTTTGTA